ATTTTGCACAGTTTGCACATGAAATGCCGTTTCCTTTCCCCACCCTCTTTATGCTTCCCACTTTTCCGACTTCTTTGGTTTTCCCCCAGCCCGTACCAAAGTGTACGAGACCGAGACAAAAGGTTATTGCACGGGTTGCCGATTTTAGATTATCATTCTTGCTTGACATGCAATGTTGATTGTTGTTTCGTGCTGCTGTTAATACCCTAACTTGTGCTGGCAAGCGGGTATGCTCGACCGGGCGTGTCTTACAGCGCGAAGAAGGTTGAAGAAGAAGCTGAGCTCTGCTTGTCAACTGTTGTATATCTTAAATCTTGCATATCTCCCAGACTTTCGGGAAGATTTCTTGCTTGAAATTGGAATTGCAATTTCCTGGAATATTCTTCGGGTAGCGTCGTCCTGTCCTCCCCCCCCCCCCCCCCACCTTGGATTTTGAATTCTTAGAACTCTTCTTTCTGCATTCTGATTCCTATAAGCATTTTCCAAGTTATCTTGACAATGCTTTTTAAATATCTACAAAATTTTGAAATGTCTGGAAGGGTATTTAGGCTTCGGCTTGCCGTAGTTACACATACTTTCTTGCTTTTTTTTTGTACTATTTTTCATGTCTTTTGTTTTGTTTTTTTTTGTTGTTGTTGTGCTTCGGTTCCGTTTGCTGTGGTCGCATTTTTTGTGCCCCAATGGAAGAGGTAAATTAACACGAAATAAACGAAACGTTTGTCTGGAATTCGGAATGCAGAATTGTGAATTATTATGTGCCACAGTTATCAGCGCAGTTGTTGTTTTTGTTTTTTTCTTACCTGTGATTTGACACGGCACGCGAACTGCAGGACTTTCTCGTCCGGATGCAGCACTTTATTGTGGCAGCTACTTTTGGTAAGGTGGCAACGCGCAACCTGATGGCAACACCTATTTTTCTTTATTTTTGCACAAAAAACTTTTAAATCTTTTGCTGCAGCTTTTTTGCCAGTCCCATGATCCTTGTTGAAGGCAAGTTTTTTGCTGCTGCTTCCGCTTCTGCTGCTGCTCCACCTTTGGCGCAAATTGCGCATCAAGTTGGGCAGAAGAAAAAATGTAGCTAAAGTTAAGTTCACCTGGGATTCAACTTGTGTGTTGAGTGGGCAAAAAGTGTGTGAAAATTGCTTTTAACTATTTCCATAACTATGCTATTTAACTCCTCATGACTTTCATTAGCAGCTCTTGAGCTTTGACCCATATAACTTATTGTACTCTGACAAATAGCTCCCCTAACCCAGCCGATACCCTGAGCCCAGTTCGTGCTCGTGTCAAACATGCAGTTGGCATTTGATGATGAGCAAAGTTTAGCCTTTAATCAAAGTTCTGTGTGACAACGCGCAAAACTTTGCATAAGTTTTGCATTAAGGTTGGCAGGGGAAAATATATAAGAAAATATTGCTGAAACACGCGTAATTCTTTTTCATATATATTTGCTTTGATATATAATTGTTTATCAGGAACTGCACTGAAACTGTGGCATTTTTGCTCGGTCTGATGCAGGCGAACAAACATGCGGTCAGCCTTGTGGTCTGCCCAAAACCCCAAATTTAACTCAACAACCAGCAACAGACAAGCCGGGAACAGATTCGCACAGTGGTGCGAATTATATGAAAACTGAGAAAATTTGTTGGCATACAAATAGTCACATATTTGCGGGCTCAAAGTAGAAGATATCAAGTTGAGTATTGAGTATGAATTAGTATATTGGCAGAGGCATCAAATATGTTCCCAATATTTTCTCACAAAGAAGACTGCTGTAGGCGAGTGCTCAACTAGGAGATACCCTGTACGAAAAGAACTACTTGGCATATTTGTGCAATATAAAGGATATATGCCAGTCGATCACAGTTCTGTGATATCTTTGTCTTACCTCAACGCAACTTAGTTTCGACATAATGCCAAGAAAGTCAACGAATCAAGACAGAAGAGTGAAAGAGAGCGAAAGATAGAAAGTTGTTCGATGGAGAGAAAGAGGGCAAAAAAGGGAAGAAAGGCTTTAGATGAAGCTGAAGGAAGTGCTACTTTAACACAGACTTACAGATTTTGTAAGCTTACATGAATTTGTGAGAATCGCAAAGGAAGGCAATATTTTGAGGAGCTGAGCTCCCACTTTTGTCCACTGTACAGACCCGAATAAACCATCGGCCACTTGAAGCACAAGCACAGACGCTTTGGGGCAAAGCGCCCGCCCGCATTTCCCCTCTCTCCCCCTCTCAGCTGCCCCTCCACATTGGCCCCATTGCAGCTGCAATGCGTCTTCATAGACGACGTGCTCGTTGCCAAACTGAAAATAATTCAGGCAGGTCTCGTTGCATACTTTTGTGCGCAAATGTTTACACAGCTCAGAGCGCGTCCTTCATTCAGTTTGGGCAGCCAGCTGTCTGTGTGTGTGTGTTGTTTAGCTGGCCCACATCTGCCCGGGCAAACTGTATGTGCATATTTATATAAATGTACACATACGTATGTCCTGGCGGCTTTTGTCGCTCCATTTCGTTTAGAGTACAGCAGCATGAGCTAAAGCAGCCGCAGGAGAAGCAACAGCAGAAGCAGCAGCAGCATCAGCTTATGAGTCATCGCCCAGTATCGTGAGCCTCATCAGCCTCATCAGTGTTGTCATTTGGGTGGTTTTGCTCATTTCGAAATTGAATTCCACTTTGGACAACCAGATTGGCTGCTATCCTGCGCTGTCCTCTCCTGTCCTGTCCTGTCCTGTTTCTGGTGCTGTGCTCGGTCCGCTGTCATCTCGTTTTTTGTGTGTGCGCTGCTTCCTTGCCCTGTGTCAGCAAATATACAAGTAGAAAAGCGGCATTTAAATGAAGTGGAATCCTGTTTTTAAATGTCCTTGTGCTCCTCGTTCTACTCTGGCCCTATGCTATTTCCGCCACGTTTGGCTGTGACGCCCCTGTCTGTCCTGGCCCAGCCTGGGCTTGGAATGCGTCATCACGTTCAAAGGACTTCTCATCTATAGCAAATTTTGATACTAACGGGCAACGCACACTGGTTTGGCAACCTATTAAAGGGAAGAGGCAAAAAGTAAGAGAGCGAAAGATAGAGCCAAGGAAAGAATAACAAACGGTTAGCTTACTTGAATTTGTGAGAATCGCAAAGGAAGGCCACATCGCAGAAAGAAACTGATCAAAAACGAGGGAAAGACAGAAGAGTGAGAGAGAGCGAAGGACGGGCGGTGGTTAGAGGGAGTGAGAAAGAGAAAAAGAAAGTATCGATTAAGTATCGTTTGTGAGAATCGCAAAGGAAGGCAACGTAAAGAGAGATGCTGAGCAAGGAGAATGAAAAGCCAGAACAGTGTGTATGAGAGAGAAAGAGAAACAGCCGAAGTAAGATGTGGGAAATTTAAATATATTTCGCGAAGCTGCAACACTGTGCGATAGATTCAAAAGTGTCGCTGACGGCCGGGACACATGAATTATGTTCACACACACACGCATTCGGCAGGAGATAATATCCTGCTACTCGCCCCGATGTGTGAATCAAAAAAGCAAGAACAACACGAGGAACATAATAAATGGCTGACACTTTTGGCGACAGCTCCTGCGAGACTGTTCCAGCAGAGAAACGGAGAGCGAGAAAGAGAGACGGAGAGGGAGACAGAGACAGCTGGCAATTCTCATGGCCAAGCTGCAAGCTTTCCAATTCTCGCAAACGCTTCGATTAATTGGTATTGCAAAGAGGATTACAAATGATTTAAAATTGCGGCCGGGGTTAATAAAATTGGCATTGTTTTTCGTTTGCCAAGCAAAAGTATTCCCAGATGGACTGCGGCAAGCTGCATGGGGGGGATGTCTCCTTTGGATTGCTCACTTGCACTTCCGGCGGCAACAGGGGAGATGATGGCCTCCGCTCCGCTGTGTGTGTGTGTGTGTGTCGCCAGACAGACGACAATGGAATATGTAATAAAAAAAAAATTAAAAAAAAAACCCCATTGTTGGCAGGATGACAGGAAGTGGGTGGAGGGAGGAACAGCAGTGGTTGGCTGGCTGCTCCATTCGCCAATCGCTTTGGCATTCGCGTGTTGCGGCTGATGTTTATGGCACAGAAAGCTGATGATGTTGTCGACGATGTTGTCCTCCTTCTAATCCTCCTCCTCATCCCCGTTCTGCTTGTTCTTCTCGCCCGATGCCAGCTGATGACCCAGTTAGACCGAGCCGAGTGCTCCTCTTGGCATTATTATTTATGCGTTAATTAAATATTCCGTATACACATGTTTCTAAGCACCATCACACACACACAGCATGTTTACAGGGCGCATATTAAGTTGTAAAGATGACATTAAATATGTTTCATGTGTGTGCGCCCCTTGCCCCCCGGAACTAGTCCATAAAGTAATTCTATTTATGTCAGCTCGCCAAGCGCTCGGGCTATATTTAATTCCTTCCTACATAATCCTGCGCTATAAACATCTAAATTATCATTATCTTTACGGCTTAAAGCTGGACGACAATTTAAAGAAAAAGTTGTGTATATTAATGAAAATATATTGAGCCCAGTTTGCCATTTCAGTCGATAAACTCAGGCTATGATCCGTAAATGTATTCCGTATAGAAAGCTTTATTGGAATTAATTCAATTTCGGAAACAACAAAAAACTACAGAGTTGGGATCTGAAATAATACAAGCAAATGCAGAACATGCTGAAATCATTTATAACATTCTCTTTGAATTTCTCAAATCATTTTCTTAATTTAAAGAAATCTCGAGTTGGGAACAGGTTTTTTCAGACACAATTCGAAGAACTGGGTAGGCAGCTTCTCGTATAGAGTAGGAGAGCCTTGGAACATGGCATATATATACCTAATTATGCCATATTTAAGGTCTGAAAATGTCATAAAGATCGGACAATAAGCTCCGAAGTTATTGATAAAGACATATTTCAAACAAACTGCGAGATGCAGAGAAGATCAAGCTCATCCGTTTGAATATCGTTGTTGCTTATAACTCTTTCTTTTTTTTAATCATCCCTTGCAGAGTTGAGCTCGTTTTGTGCGATTCATGATGATGGAGCTGGAGCCGCGCGTGGCCATATTGCAGGATCTGCGCCTACAGACCTTCGACTCGATACGCTTTGCCTCGTATCGGACCGCCTCGAAGTTGCGCTACATACAAAAGTCGACCAATTTGCATTTGGTGGACATTTGGAATGTGATCGAGGCGTTCCGTGAGAATGGCCTGAACACGTTGGAGCCGCAGAGCGATGTGAGCGTGGCGCGTCTGGAGACGCTCGTCTCCTCGCTCTATCACAATCTGAACAAGCGTCTGCCCACCGCACAGCAGGTGCCCGTGGACTCGAAGGCGGGTCTCTTGCTCAACTGGCTGCTGGCTGCCTACACCAGGTGGGAGTACTTGAAGTAACTGTTAGATCCGACAGCTAATTCTCTTCCCATTGCAGCGACAACTCGGGCAAAATACGCGTGTTTTCCATTAAGGTGGCGCTGGCCACCATGTGCTCCGGCAAGCTGGTGGACAAGCTCAGATGTGAGTAACTAAATACAACCTAGACCCTAAACTGATTCCTTCTACTCCCTCGGCAGATATCTTTTCACAGATTTCGGATGGCGCTGGACAGCTGGTTGCCTGGAAGCTGGGTGAATTTTTGCGTGAGGTATTGGCGCTGCCGGCGGCTGTTTATGAGTCGCCCACATTCCACTATAAGGACGGGCTGGAGGAGGAGATATTTCCGGCCGAGAATAAGGTCACCGTGAATGATTTCATGGCAACACTTATGTCCGAACCGGGGCCATCGTGTCTCGTCTGGCTGCCGTTATTGCATCGGCTGGCCACGGTTGAGACAATTGTGCATCCGACGATCTGTTCTGTTTGCCATAAGGAAAACTTTACCGGATTTCGTTATCGTTGTCAGCGGTGTCACGCCTACCAATTGTGCCAGGAGTGCTTTTGGCATGGCAAGACATCACTGAACCATCAGAACGATCACGAGGTCAAGGAGTACTCGAGCTACAAGTCGCCCAGCAAACAGATTGGTCACTCCTTGCGCAAGAGCTTTCGGTGTGTGCCCGAGAAGACGACGCAAGTGTTGCCACGATTCCCCGACCAGCCCGAAAAGACACTCAATTTATCGCACATTGTGCCGCCATCGCCGTTACCCTCGCACAATGGCTTCTCCGATCCAACGCTAGGCCACTTGCACGGTCCCGGTCCCGGTTCCGGCTCTGGTCCGGGGCCCGGACATCCGGGCATCTTTGATCGTTCCAGTACGCTGGATTCGCGCGCCACCGGACGCAGCCTGGACACGACCATGTCCCGCGTAGCGGCCGCCTCGGCCAACGATGAGGAGCATCGCCTGATTGCACGCTATGCCGCGCGCCTGGCCCAGGAGAATCGCGCTGTAAGTACCAGTTAAATACATATCTATATCTCGACTTAAACTCTGCCCTCTCTCTCTCGCAGCCCTCCAACATGCCCAATGCGGAGAGCATCACGCCCATTGGCACGGATAATTCGCGTGCGCAGCGCGAGCTCATCGCCCAGCTGGAGTCGAAGAACAAGGAGATAATGCGCGAAATCGCGCGCCTGCGCCGCCAGCAGGAGACTGAGCAAATGGCGCCCGAGAATCCGGCGCTGATCAATGAGCTGCGCGCCCTGCGGCAGCGCAAGGGCGAGTTGGAGGGGCATTTGGGCGCGCTGCAGGATTCGCGGCGGCAACTGATGGAACAGCTGGAGGGCCTGATGCGCATGCTCAAGAATCAACAGACTGCCTCGCCGCGCTCCACGCCCAATTCCAGTCCACGATCCGGCAAATCGCCGCCCATGCCAGGTGGCACGGCGACAACATCAGCTGGCGTCCTGGGCACCACGCCGATGAGCGCCCTGCATGCCCAGCAGTTGCAACAGCTGCAACAGCATCCGATGCTGCGCTCCACACAGCAACAGCTGTTGCAGCAGCAGCAGCAGCAGCAGGCGGCACAGCAAAGTCAATCCTCGCCGGGCCTCGGCCACGGACCCTTCAGCCAGAGCCAGCTGGAGCAGCTCAACCAGATCAGCAGCGACATGCGTAGCGCCTTTGCCGCCAACGGCAGTGCAAGTGAGTATTGCCTGCGCCTGTAGCCCAAGGATCTACTAGGGATTCGCTTTGGGTTTGGGTTTGGGTTTGGGTTGGGTTGGATTAAAGTGTAACTGTTGCCTTTGTTTAGGTTGACTGCATCACAAATTGGTCGTTAGGTTTATCCATCTCTCGCTCTCTCTCTTTACGCTCTTACGCTCACTGAACACCGCCCTCACTTGCCACTGCCCAACACTGTTCACTGACCAACACACACTTCGCTTGGAAGCTGCTCGCGTGTCACGATCAGGCATTCGTGCGTGATTCAATATGGAATAAATTCTATTATAATCTTAAAAGGCGATCCTCGGTAAAGCATTAGAACAACTAGGATCTGAGTTCGAGTAATGATAATTATATCGATAACGATTAATCGTAATTCCTAAAACAATTAATCCGAATTTAAAAGAGATTCTCAAAAAGAATCATTTTTAGACATATTTAAGTGAAAAAAGCGATCATTTCCAATTGCAATCGTCTGAATGCTTAGATAATTATGTCAATAATTAATCGATCGATCATTCGATTCGTAAATCAATTAAATGGAATTTAAAAGAGATTTTCGAGAAGACTCCTAATACGTGACATATCAGCGATTATTTTCAATTGCTATTGACTGAATGCCTTTGATAATTAGATCGATAATCAATCGATCGTAATTCGTGATACGCTTGCAGCTCTGTGAAGCACAGAAGCTTGGCTCATCCCAAACAATATCTCTCGCTTTTATATATATATATATACATGTATATGGCTTCACAGCCCCGCCGCCCATATTGAATGCCAATCCCAATGCCGACGCGGAGCTGAACGCGACTGCCGACAACATAACGTCGGCCATTTCGACAATGGTCAGCGATCTGAATGCAGGTAAATCGCGGGAATAACCCTGACAAAAAAAAAAAATCGAAATCGAAACCAAATCGAGATCTTATTTCCCGCCTGAAACCAACGCCCACTCGCTCGCTCGCTCTGCTGCTGCTTGGAATATAGAATGTGTATAAAATCTATCTATATATATAGAGATATCTATATAGAGATATGGCCTAGAACTTGCACCTGCAATTTGCACTCGTTTTTAGAGCTGTGTTAGATTTATTTATTTTTGGCACCAAATTAGTTGAAGCACCCCGCTTTTAGAGTCCACTGGCCACTGCCACACCCACTCGCACCTAACTAATATATGGAATATTCTCTATCTCTCTCTCTCTTTCTAACACGCTCTCTCTCTTTCTCTCTGTGTCTATGCTTTGCTGTGTGTGTGTTCTTTGTGCTTTTCCTTGTTCGTTGTCCTTGTCCTTTTTCAGAACAATTCTTGCCGCCGGCTCGTTTCATTATGCCTTTGGGTAAGTCCTTCACGTCGACTCCGTTTCCGTCCTTCGTCGTTGCGACCAACTCTCTACCCTCCCCCCTTTCCTCTAGTTTTTTTTTGATTTTTTGGTTTTTCTCAACATTTTCTGTTATTTTTCTTATAGATTATTTCCCAAATAGACGGCATAAGAAAAATTGCTGCAAATGTTGAATGTGCAATTCAGTTGTTCTTTATTGTTTAACATTTTTACTTTCACTACCAAAAAAAAAAAAAAAAATCAAAAAAAAAATACCTCTCTCGTATCCATACGAACGAATCCCATTTCAAGAGTATCGCCACATCGAGGGCCGCGAATCCGTTCCGGCCGGCTGCGGCGACTGCGATTGTCTGGCTTACGAGGAGATCTTTCGCACCGACGAGGATCTTGAGTGCGAGGGTGCTGCCGCTCCTGAAGCTGCCACGCCCCTTTATACAGATCCCTTCGATGATGAATTCGATTATAATTTCGGCCAGAGCGAGGAGCAGTCCCAGCTAAATCGCCTGCTCGCCTATCGCCACCATCCCGAGCTCTTTATCGACGACGACGAGGCCGGGTTTCCGGCACTGCACGAGATCGGTGAGACAATCGATGAGCTGCAGTTGATAATGCACGCTTACATTATGAAATATAGTTTGAATATATAAAAAAACAAAAACAAGAGAATTGAAAAACATTTTTGTAGGTTCACGCGTTGTTCAGGTAAAATTTTGATATGCAAATATATATATTTATATAAAATATATTTTATTGTATGCCTTTCGCTCATCTCAAATGTAGTTGCCAGTTCTTTGACATTCGCTTCACTTTCAGCTTAAATCGCGATTCTATCTATTTCCACAAATCTGATTCATTCGTAGTTCAACATCTTTCCAGTGGCGTAGTCGAGCTGTTTATAAGAGGGATTTATTTGAAATAAATAGTTAACCAAACTGTTTACAATCTTGTGCACAATCAAGACTCTGTTTACGGCTGGACTGGATTATATATGTAGGCACAATCTTTGAAGATCTTCAGTCATTTATATGCTAAGATCTGAATATGGATATAGCCAACAGACCTTATACACTTTTACACGTCTCGAGCTTCGAAGAAATCAGCCAGCTGGACAGACTTATGCAATAATAATATTACAAATCCAGCCTGAGGTTCGAACCCACAGCTGGGATCTTTTTAGTTCAAGTTCCATTAACCTATAGAGAACAGGCTCAATCTCTCTACTCTAAACTATATCTATATTCTATATCTATATAAACTAGACTCTAGACTCTATACTTTATACGAAACTTTGCATTTCAATTTCACTTTTATCGAAAATATATATGGTTCTATTAAACCCCCCCTTAAATGCGCCTTGACTACGCCGCTGTCTTCTACTCTCCATGCGTCACACATGTCCTCATATAAATATATATATATATATATATATATATATATATATATATATATATATATATATATCTGCTAGTCTGGCTTAGCTAGAATGCGACTTCATCGATGCAAATCAGTTCCGAGTACCCCCGCCCGCCGCTGAATCTCTGTCGTGTCCTCCACTCAACTCCGTCCATTTGGCATCTCTCATGCGGCACATTCAGAACTCCAATGTATCTAGAGATAATATCTTAATGTATCTATATATATTTAGACTGTTCGTGTTGGTTGCTCGTTAAAAGATAAACAGAAGAAGGTTTAGCTTTGTTTTGGGTTAAGCTTTGAAATAAAACTGATTCTTATGCAAATTGATACAATTTCAGATTTTGATGAAACTCAATCCTATAATCCCGAATGGAATGAAAAGGTAAAGGATTTCGCATTGAAATCCTTATAGAGCCAATTATTGATGTATTTTTGTTTTTCTTTTTATTGTTGTTGGTTTTGTATTTGTTTTTTTTTTTCGTTTCCACAAAACATGCACTCAAATATAAACGTAAACAACAATAAATATATATATATTTACTATATATGTAGCTTGTGTAGTTGTAAACCGATTTATACTCTATATATTTATGGCATATCTGTTTTTATTTCCACTCTTTGATATATTTGCATGCCACAGCGTAGCGTTTGGGTAGCTATTTACCTTACTTTATATAAAAAAAATATTTAATTTATTTTTTGTGTGCTTTTCTAATAATTTCTGAATTTGTTTTTCAGGCAAATGCGAATAGCCAATGGCAGGAGCAGTTTGCACAATGGAGTCTCAATTCACAAAATAACTAAAGAAAAAATATATATATAAATGGAAAATACAAACAAAAAAAAAACAAAAAAACACGCTGTGGATCCAACGTTGGAACATATATATATATATAAATATATACACTTAGTGCGGATCGGCGCTTAGCTTTTTAAAAACTTAACACTTATGTTGATCTAGAGCAATTTATTTATTGACTACTTTAGTCTGTACTATCTTATAAAGCATTATAATTTATTTTGGCGGGCATACACATATATATATATATATATATATATTTATCCATAAATATATACTTCTATACGTAGATACGTACACATTGATTTGTGAACAGGAAATCTATGTAACAAAAATTGAAAAATTTTATAAGACTTGCATTTGAAGTCGCAATTCTCTTGAATCTCTATCGTTATGTTTAGCTGGATTTCTTTTTTGAATGCGCTTTATTGCACGTTGGAGTTGTGCAACTATTTATTACATATTTAACAAGAATGAAAATCAAACACATAATACAAATACAAATACAAATACTATATACACATTTATGTACTTAGCAACTAGCGACTTGTTGAAAAAAAGAACGTAAAACTAAAATCAAATTCTAAATGCTGATTCCTTATACTTCCCCAAAGAGGACAGCAGTACAATAAATATTTAAACAAACACTTTGATATACGATATAATAATAACATGAAGTACGAAATCTTTAGCCAGGAACTACGTGAAATTATGAACATATATAATATGACGCGGACTTTCCAAAGTTTATACAATATTTTGGATATTGCATTTTATGTTTGAGTTTTATTTCGAGTTTTGAAAAGTTATTCGACATTAAGGTATCCAATGTTATGTCGATGCTATTTAAATTACTATTAATATCAATTTATAATATGCATTCATACAAAAATGTTATAAAATATAATCGCAATGCATACAACCAGCACAGAAAGATGAAGAACAAAGAGATGATAAACAAAATCAGACATTTATAGACATTATACATAAATAACCACTGAATAATGAAGAATATTACAAAAAAAAGGAGAAAAGTAAATAAAAATACATTTTAAACAATTCTAAACATAGATAGTAATTTGATTTATTTAAAAATGAAAAATAGCCCGCCTTACAAGATAGTTATCGATAAGCACGTTTATAACATTCTGTTAACGCAATTATGTTAGTTAACATTAACGCATAAATGAGTTGCAATAACAGTGACGCAAAATGCGCGCACAGCCGGTGCTGTTAAGTATAACATAACAGAACCTGTTAACGGCGGGTTAACAGTGGTGTATCATTTACGCAAGCGCCGGCTGCGGCGCGCCTCACTCGAATCATTTGTGTTGTGACAGTCGAATCGTGCGGACGTCTTAAATTTGTTGTGGCTCTCGCGTGTGCTTAAAAGTATAAATTAGTAAACTCGGCTTACACAGACATCAGTGAAAGAGAGTAAGAGCGCGCGCGCGCACACACACACGCATACCGAGAGTCGAGAAAAACCAGCTTAGAGCGAGCTAACAAGTGTGTGTCTAGCGAACAGCATCCGCGCTGTGCCGTGCAACGAAAAGAGCCAAAGCTAACTATTTTTGTTTGGTCACGTCTTCGGGCGTCCCAGAGCGCAGCGCCAAATAGCTCAGCGGCAGCTTTTCTTCAACAGTTTAAAATTTACTGTTGCAGCCGACGTACAAATAATCAGCCGTAGGGTGTGGTGCAATATATATATATTTATATTTCTGTACTCCAAAAAGCACAAGAATGTGGCAAGCTGAGCACCTGAAGATTAACAATTTGTGGCATGCACTGCTGCTGCTGCTGATTGCACTCGCCACGCACGCACAGGCGCAGAGAACGCCCACAATTTCGTACATTACGCAGGAGCAGATCAAGGATATTGGCGGCACTGTTGAATTCGACTGCTCGGTGCAGTATGCCAAAGAATATAATGTGCTCTTCCTCAAGACAGACTCAGATGCCGTCTTCCTCTCAACGGGCTCAACGCTTGTGATTAAAGATTCGCGCTTCTCGCTGCGCTACGATCCCAACTCTTCCACATACAAGCTGCAGATCAAGGACATACAGGAAACAGATGCGGGCACCTACACCTGTCAGGTGGTCATCTCCACCGTGCACAAGGTGAGCGCCAGTGTGAAGCTATCGGTGCGTCGACCGCCCGTCATCTCCGACAATTCAACTCAATCGATTGTGGCCAGCGAGGGCAGCGAGGTGCAAATGGAGTGTTATGCCAGCGGTTATCCAACACCGACCATCACATGGCGACGCGAGAACAATGCCATTCTGCCAACGGGTGAGTCTCCCTTTAATTATTAATTAACCAACACTATTAGCTGACCCCAAACCCTCCCCCCTTGCCCCTCAAACAGACCTGTGGCAGGCGTACGATACATTTACATGATATGTCCGTCTGTTTTGGGGCGCTGTCTTCTCTCTCTCTCTCTGTCTGTCTCTCTGGCTGCCACTTGCTATGCATGTGTGTGTGTGTGACCGTGACTCACTCAGTCGTCACCGTTGGCGTTTGTTTATTTGCCTGTTCTAGACTTTATTTTGTTGTATGTTTGCTTTGCGTGTTTTGCATATATTCATTTCCCACCTGTTTTCAACAGCCCTTTTTAGTTATTTTTCTTGCCAGTTTCTCATATGAAAGCGCATTGTTGTCTTATATATACATACATATTACAAAGCGTTAAGCTCGGCTTGCGCTCTCTCACTCTCTCGCGCGCGCTCCCACACCTACACACACAGACACACAGTCACATGCAGCCGCGCTCTCTCCATTTTCGTGTTATGTTTTGTTGTTGTCTTTGCTTTCTTTGAAAATGGCCAACAACTTGAAATTTTATTGCATTTGCTATTGTTGCTGGGGAAAAGCCAATAAAATAATTTTGTAGCCAACAGGTAAAGAGACTAGCGACAAGGTCAATACTAAGCCATTACAGGTGCACATCAATCCCGTATTCTACCTGTTCTAAACACCTTGCGTGCCATAAATGCGCCGCTTGCGCATCCATAATTGATTTTTAAGTCTCGCTGCGCATTTAACAAGATTGCAGCGTCATTTGCCAGCGGCAGCAGCAGCAGAGGCAGCGCAGCATCGGCAATTAGTGGCACTAATCCCGCCAAGCTGAAAACCGAATACTAAGAAGTATGCATATGTGTGTGTGCGTGTGTCTAAATGCAATTACAAATGGTTAAAAAAAAAAAATACAAAAGAAATACTAAAGCTGCACAATTTTTGGCTTAGGCAGCGGCTTAATGTCTTGGGATTAAGTATTGCACAGTTTTCGACTTGAGCATTTTTAAACTGGCAGCCCTTAAATCATAAATTAACTATTGCAATAATAATAGTTTTTTTCTGAAGAACTTTTGTAAGATGGCGACTTGAGCGCTGATAAAATCTGTTTTTAATTATCGATAACATGTCCCAATTGCATGGAATCGATATGAAAATGTATCGATATGCGGTTTGTTTAGCATATATCAGAGCTTAAAAGAACAAGACACACTGTTTTTTGTAGGCATAAATTTGGGCTTTGTGTATTTACACATATTTGGCCATACTTTTTTCAATTTTACCGCAAGACTTTTCGATTTTGTGTTTGTGCATATAAAAGAAAGTTAAAATGTTTGCAAACGCAACTTGACGCTGAGCTTAAGCTATTTCTCACAGTGGAACACTCCCGACTAGAGCACTCTAAATTGATTTCTTCTAAAACGTTGAAAAATTAAGGTAAACACAGTTTTTATTGCTCTAATTGAATAGTTTTATCTGAAACCACGAATCAAACACAAATAGCTTTATTTGGGCCTGGTCACACCCTGTACCATTAAACAGACTTTTTCAAACATTTCAACGATCGACTTGTGCCATCTTTAATTACTTTAGCCTTGACTTGCCTAAAACGTGGACGCTCATTGGAGCGTCTATTAATGGGGTATCCAGCTGATGGTTGGGTGTGTGCTCGGCAAGATTGCTCCCTTCCCGGGCTGAGCACTTGAAACCGAAAGCTACTTAAGGCCTGGAACTGTGTGCTTGGGGTTTTGGGCACAATAGCTGGTATACGCTTGAGAAACTTACTTCAATGTCAGCACTGGCTACATATATATGTATATACACATATATATTTATATGGTACAGTATACACAATAAATCAAAGGTAAATCAACCTTTGAGCAGGACCTCACAGGCAGCAGCAGCAGTCGCCCCTGTGCGGAGTTTCACACGTTTAATTTAAAGCGCTTGGGCAAACAAAAATCCGCGCCAAGCTTTGAAATGCGCCAACGAGCCATGAGCGGGTAGAGAGAGAGAGAGAGAGAGAGCGTGAAGGAGGGGGGGTGTAAGGAGTGCAGAGGCCTGCACTAGAGATGCTTTTATGCGGCAGAATTCGCATTGCGAGGCATTCGACAACTTCAGCACGCGCAATTGCTTCCGCAACTTGAAAACGTACCGTTTGATGGTGACTGCTGCAGCCGCTAGGAAAAAGGAGTGGGTTGGGGAGGGGTGACGGGTGAGAGCAGTGGCCCGGGCATATGAGTGCAAACATATTCTGGCGTAAAGCCAGGCGAGGCAGGAGGCAGGAGGCGTTACTGTGTATCAGACACGGTTACGGCTTGGGTGGGTACAGTGCAACAAAAACAAAGTAAACAACGGCAACAACAACAACAACAACAACCAGAACAACAACAACAATTGTTAAGGCCATGTCGAATGCGCTGAGCCCCGTTCAGCGCCCTTTCGCGCGCATAATTTGTATTTTGATAGCCGGCAAATACAATGCACACAATATACAATATAAAATATATACAACATATACAACATATACAAAATATATATAAATTACAAGCCAAAAAGGTAAAAAAAAAAAAAAACACGACACAAACAATGGGCGCTGCGAATAAACCCCCTCTAAACCCGCTCTTATGCGTCCCTCTTCTGTTGTAAAATGCAAACAGTTCGCGGCAGCCGCTTCTAAGCAACCCCTGCCCAGGAGCACGGGCAGAGGCCAGGGCAGGGCAGGGCCAGGGGCTGGGGCTGGGCAGGGACTACGGGATTGGACCACGCCTTAGCCGCGAGGAAGAAAACAGGGACACGCACATAAACAAACGCAGAAGGAACCCCTAATCAGGCGCTTCCGTTGCCGGTTTTTAGCGCGCAAAAAGAATAAATATATACACAAGTATATAGGGCTAGCCGAACTAGTAGATGCCTTGTTAAATAAAGAAACGTAGCCGTTATTCGCATTCATTTCGCATTATGAAAAATTGCGTGTTTTGAAGGCGATATTTCTGCACCCACATATTGTAAATTTCAATCTTAAATAACTTTTTGTTGTGCGATCTTTATGAAATTTGCAGGGTATCAAGAATACTTTTTTAAGCTGGGCATATACCTAGAATAAAACAAATAGAAGAAGCCATATGTCTATATATATATGTTATTGTCTACTTCGTGAAGAAGTGCAATAAACCCGTGTCTTATGTTTACAGGGTATTCTAAGTGAACCTTGACTCGCCAGAGAGCTAAAAACTCTTAAATCAATCAAATAGACAGCTAGAACATGGCTATATCTAGAATATTCAGGCTGAACAATCAATATACTCCTCTCATATGCTTACAGGGTATTCCAGGTGAAGGGTGTGTCCTCTCGCGATCTTTGACTCGGTGCAAGGGCCAATTTGTGCGTTGCCAAGCAAATCGATTGGGCCTTAATAACGTTAAAGCGTCAACAGAATAAATTGATAGCACCTGGCTAACTGCCCTACCCCTGCCTCTACCCTGCTCTGTCTCCCCTCCCCTCGGCCCAGCTGCACACCTGTTTAGGCATGCAAAAATTGCATCGGCCAATGGTTTATTTATCAGGCAACTGCATTGCGTTTTGGCCATAATAATAAAGCTCACCTTGGCCCAACTCGAGCCTCACGTGAGGCCAGCCAAATTGGGTTTCGAATGTTGTGTCCGGCTTTACAAATTTTCGAGCTGCGTTTGCTCAAAATAAATAAAGCAATAAAGAAATGAAAACAAA